ACCCTGAATCTTCTACCAGAAGGTAGGAGCTGGAATTCTGGGTGGAGTATGTGGGTGGGATCAGACACTTTTTTTTTTGCTTGTCTGATAATGAACTGCTCGTATATGTTTTGGAGAGATGGGTGTTTTTTAACCCCCATCATTTTCATAGCAGTCTGTACCAGGCGAGCGATCTGTGACTTTGACTGCACTGTCAAGTTACCATACCAGGCAGTAATACCATACCTGATGATCCTCTCTAACACTGCATGATAGAACAGTAACATGAACTTCTGGTCGACTCCGAAAGCCCGGAGTCGACACAGAAAGTACAATCGCTGTTGAAGTCTAGAGCACAGACCTTGAACATGCGCCTTCCAGCTGAGTGTATTATCTAGATGGACACCAAGGTACTTATAGGAGCTGACCTGAGTTATGGGTTCATTGTGGATAACCACCGGCCTAAGGTCACCCACTGCCTTTGGGTCCCACACCATCTCCTTAGTCTTCTTCACATTCAGCACTAGATGGTTAAAATCACACCACTGCACAAATCTCTCTATTTCAGAGTGATAAGCCGATGAACTGCTGCCTTTGTGCATTAAGCCAAGGATGGCTGTATCATCTGAGAATTTGATGATATCATTCTCGGGGTGGATTCTCGTACAGTCGTTTGTGTACAATGTGAAGAGGACCGGGGAGCTCACACAACCCTGGGGGGCTCCTGTACTGATGGTCCGGGGCTCTGAGAGGGCATTGTTGACCCTGACATGCTGAGTGCGATTGGTTAAAAACGAAAAATACCATTTCAAGATAAAAGGATTTATATTGATCTTTATCAGTTTTTGAAGCAAGATGTGAGGCTGCAGTGTGTTAAAAGCCGAGCTGAAATCCACAAACAGTAGGCGTACATATGCCTTAGGGTCTTCCAGGTGTTTAGTGACCAGGTGTGTGATGCTATTTAGAGCATCGTCTGTGCCACGCCCTTGCTTGTAGGCAAACTGAAAAGGGTCTAAATGTACATCAACCTCTTTCTTTAGCAGCGGCACCATGATCCTCTCAAAACATTTCATGACAATGGATGTCAATGCAACAGGCCTAAAATCATTGTTTACCTTTGGACAAGGTTTTTTGGGGACAGGTTTTATTATTGATTTTTTCCAGAGGGTGGGGATGGTGTGAAGATCAACAGATTTTTGAAATATGGGACACCATGCTGATGTCAGTTCTTCTGCAAATGTCTTGAGAAGGAATGCAGAGATGCCATCTGGCCTTCTTAGTACAGGTGTGTTTGAAAAGTGATTGGACCATCAATAACGTTAATTCCATTGTTTTGCAAGTAACAATGTATTTTTAACCACAATATTCTATCTTCTTCTGATTTTATAAAATAAAGATGGAAGTAAACTTTTAAAGAAGCCACATTCCACTGAAAATGGCATTAGTAAAACCATTTTACACAACAATAAAATACAGAACAATGGGATTTTAAGCAGAAAAAGCTAGACATAGTGCTAAGAAAATGTAATATCCTCACTGGAAAATAATTTTGGTAAAGTATGAGCATTAGTATGTAAAATAAATAAAACTAATCAAAATCCGATGTTGGTATTGACTTGCTAGCTAGGCAAGACTTATACCAATTTGAATCTTTAGAAAAGTTGTTTGCATGTTGTCGTGCAGATAAAGCCAAATACTAGAAAAAGATCTGATAAATAAAACAAAAACAAATGATCAGTGTTCAGTTGATCAACTAACAGTAAAATCATGCTGTGCCGAAACAGGCTTCACTGCCAGGTAATATCGGAGGTGCATCGTTCAGCATCACAGACACGTGTATGGCCTTTGTCTCGTGTGAGGAAGAAGGGAGAGAGCCTCCATTGTCAGACAGCCGACCTGATAAGAAGTCGTTTGGAAACCCACACCACCACATCACTGACTGCAGTCAATCGGCCCACTCTATTGCTGCATTTGAATCAGATTATCACCCTCGACCCATATTAACCATTCAACCTCAAAGGGAATCTGATTCTCTGTCTCACCAAGCACATCATCTATCCCCAGTTTTAACTAGATGTGATGTGTGTCTGTGTGTGAGTATGAATAACGTTATTCTAGCAAGGTGAACTAAAGATCCTGATACGTAAAGCAGCGGCAGATGCTGGTTCCAGTCTGTGAAACAGAGAGGAAGAAGAGAGCTTCAAAGTGACATTTGTGGGCAGTGAGCAGATGCCTCCAGGACATTCATAGACAAACACAGACGGTTTCCACAATAAAGAAACTTGCAACAACAAGCTACAGTTCCTTAGAAATAACATTGTCACGCAGGGGTGAAAATAAGTCAATCAATCATATTTTCTATGTATTTTCAAATCAAATATTTCTTGCAAGTTTCTTAATGCGTGTTGATATTGTTGGTTAAAGTATTTATTTTGCATTTTTCTGTAGGGCGTTCTTTTATAGCAGAAATAGCTGGACTTTTTCAGGGGGTACATCCAAAAACCACTCCCTCATTCAGTTATTCCCTGCTCCCTGTGGAACATACAATCGTTTACTAGAGCAGTAGAGTACCATGGAGATACTTCAAATCAAACAAGAAAAGAACAGGTGTAAATAATGACAAACATAATGGCTGACTTTATTCCATTGCTTTAGATTCAGGGTCCAGGTTTTATGCATGCTGGCTCACTGTCTCACTATCACGGCTTACTGGGACTATTAACTCAGACACGTTAATCTAATTAGTAACACCTGTGCTAATTTCAAAATATCTGCTTTGAAAAGGGCCTGGGACTTAATACCCATTCTTAATCATTGCTGCATTTATGGCAAGTGTGCAACAATGAGCATATAGTATTTACTAAAAAAAAGAAGAAAATTGACTAGGTTGTTTCCAATTATGGTTTCACTATAAAAAAAAAAAGCGGTATACTTAATATTTGACTGATAAGTCCAAGATAATGTCAGATTCTCAACGTCAGTGTGCTGCCCGATATAAATATCAAAACATTAGAATAGCAGTATAGCACAGACGCAGAAAGCTACTGTGTGTTGAGCGTGAAAGGTGACAGAAAGAGTTCCAGTAACAGCTCTGGGGACTTTCTCACCTAAAGTGTTAGGATAAAAATGTTCGGGATATTTTTGAAGATTTCCAAAAGCCATTCAGCAGGCACATCTGCAGACTCTCTTGTTCCTGTAGCTTCAAAGACTGGGCAACAGAGAGGAGCTATCAGAGCTATTTGATAAGCCCACGGCTTACAGGCTTACTGTCACACATGAAAGTACACACACATGTGCACACAGTTTAGGCCACTTCAGGGCACTACAGGCTGTCGTGCACAAGACACTGTATCAAAGCCAGAACCCCCCTCTGGGGAATATCTGAGACACATCATTCAATCTGAGTGAAGGACAATTATCTTTTCTTAGATTTATGATATATGAGAGGTGGATGATTGTGACACATGCCATTATCTGTTGCGACTCACTATTAAAGCAATGGACCTTTAAGGAATCTGTAAAAAGCAACATAAAAGCATAACAATCTCAGTTCTCATTACTTTTTTTCTAAATGTCAAAACTGTTAAAAAGTATTAATGGATCATTTCAGAAACGATTTGACATATTAACCGATTAAAATCTAGCTAGTGATATAACACCATGGTGAGTCAGACATGATATATTTAACAAATACTGTATGTTATAAAATGTAGGAATAGTCAACACATCAAAAATCCCAAATCCTAAAGGTTGGGGAAAGCTCTGTAAAAGCAAGTTACTGAATATTTCCAGGGACAATGTTGAGGGAGCAGCTTGTTGTTGATTGCAGTGTGGAAATGAGCAAGCAGCCACAGGCTGCTGCTCTCCTGCAGGCAGCCAAATCTACAAGTGGATCATCACAAAGCATGAAGCCACTGCATCAGAGCAGAGAACCATCAGACCGCATTTAGTGTCGCACACATTCATTATAAAGCTGTCACTTTTCAACCTCTTCATTGAAAAAGGCTCATATAAAGCATCACATTGTAACACTGGAACTCAAAGGTCTACACACACTCTTAAATGGATATAGTGTTAGAACCAATGTTGATTTGAAAGGCTTACATAGAACCATTACACCCCTGTCATGTGACAGATTACACCAAATCACAGCCAAACTCCTGAATTCATAATGCACAGTTTGTTCCGCAACTACATGTCTGATTGACATAGAGTTAGCGAGTGATTGACACATTTCTGATGAAACTGTGATAAAACATGCCAAAAGTCAGAAGACAGGTTGTTGCTTTTGCACCCTAATTGCCAGCAGAGAAGACTCATTTCATCAAGCACGAACATCTGTTTTCAGTCATCAAGAAAATAAACTGCCTGTTTAAACCAAATGATCGGACACTAATTGGACAAAACAGTTAAGTTATTGTCAACATTGCAAACTGTTATTTCTATGTAGAAAGTAGTGAAAAACATTGGAAATCTGGCCATCCCAAGGGTCTTCAGTTCTCTGGAAGATGCATTACATGCTTCCCTCTACAAACTTTCTGCATAAATATATAAATAGCTCAACTAATATTTTACTGCAAAAACAACAGATAGCGTAACACTGGGTTATATGTACCCCTAAGACTCTACTTGTAGAAATATTGTTTGCTAGGAGGCAGTTTTAGCAAAAATCTTTTTCAGTAGCCAGGAGCTATTTCCTAACCTTTTTGAGCGTACATTTTGTTTTGTTTAGAAATGCCCTGAGTCTGATTCATGCAGCTAAGCATATTTTTACCTGGCAGCTGTCAAATAAAACCACAGTTTTCTAAGTTGTCTTTTAAAAAGCTCCCCTGGAGCCGTTTGGGAGTGTAGCATAGCTCCAGGGCTTCTCTGCAGCAGTTAATGAGGAAACTTTTCTCATTTAGAATTCCCAGACCTAGCCCATGGCAACTGGGGTACGATCAAAAAGTGACATCAATGAACGTAGCTCTTGATACATAGAAAAACTAAAACAAGGGGGAGATAAACATCCCAGTTCTTACCTCTGGTGTCAGAGCGTTGTTGTCTGTAGTTTGGCTGGAGAGCAGGATGTGAGTGAAGCCTTCCTCCTTCCTGACCACGATGTCTCGGAATCGACAGTTGCTCTCGTTCTGTCGCACGTTATACCTGAGCCGCTTGTCGAACACGTAGCCTTTATCCTCGGCCAGCTTCCGCTTTACTGAGCTGTGTAGATGCATCTTGCCGTTGGCCAGAGGAGGGCCTGACACTGAGGAGGAAGGATGAAACAGGTCAATGTCTCTTCTTGGACGTGTGTAGCTTTTAGACAGTTAATCACAAACCACCATTAAAAGAAACATTGTCTGAAATATGAATTAAAAAAATAAAATAAATAATAAATAAAATATTTCAACCATGTTGTTGAGTCAAATGTTATCCATTTCAATCGTTCGCTGTACTAGGAGTTAACTTTGATAAATATACACGATACAGGATTTAGAAGGAACATTTTGGGATAACGATTTAAACACCAATCCACATTATTTATACTTCCACCAGGGGAAATTACCAGAGACTTTTCAAAGGATGTTGACAGAGTAGCTCCTAATTCTTAGAGATAAGCTTGGTATACAAATTATTTGTGGAGCTTGATTTTACTGGCTCTACGATATATTTGCATATCTGATGTTGAAAGGTTGTTGGTCTATGTGTGCAACGTTTCCTAAATAATTATGTATACGTGTCTTGTTGTTATGACATCATTCTGTATATTAACAAATATCAAATAGGTGGTGTGAAAGTTGAAAAAACAAGCATTAAACAAAACAAATTGAGAACATGAAGTTTGCATCCATGTCTACAACTAAAATACAATTTGAACTTTGACTAGAATCAGATATATGGACATGCACTCAAAGCGTAGATTGAGGAATTATAGTTATTACATTTGTTGTAATATGTTTGTTATTTTGCATATTCCATTCACTTTTGTCAGGACAATTTACTGACGTCATTATATGGATTTTTATGTAAGAACTCCTGCCACTCACTGACTTCCTGTGCCCTTGCAATCATCTATTTCTGTCATCAGACAACATTTACTCTGCATGATATCAGAGCTTTCACAGTGGGATTCATTGAATTAGAATTTCTGTTGATCACATTAACATATCTGGCTTTTATAGAGCACACACACTTTTTTCTGATTTGCTAAGATTTTAAGGCCTTTTCACACAGAGAGAACTTGACTTTTTGGAGCAGTGCAATCTCTAGATGACCATCATGAATTAAAAAAATGTTTCACCTACAATGATAAAAAGGTTTTCTGTAAAAGCTGAGAAACAAATATCTCTCTCACTTTCATTACTTGAGTAGATAAAAGAAAAAAGAACCTTGACTAAAGCTAAATATGAGTCCTTTGTATAAGATTTAGAGATGCAGTAGTCATACGTCACTCAGGAACACAAGCGCAATCTTCCAGCAAGTGGTGTGATGATTTTTTTAGAACATTTTAAACATGTCAGTGATAAGGATGCTAATATAAAGCTGGATTTTTACCACAAACAACTGTCTGATATTAAAAAAGTCAGTGGAGAATTTAAAACGATCTAAAAGCCCTCTATGAGAGTCTGTGTTTTTAACCATGAATGACTTCCATATAAATAATGCAGTGGAGCTGTAGACCCAGCCAGCACTTTACAAATCAGCATGTCTTGACCTTTGAATCACTGATAGAAACAGCAATCGCAAATTAAGATAAAAAGAGTTTGCTATAGGGTTTCTTCAAATGATCATTACCATTATGTAATGGTAATGATCATTTGAAGAAACTACACATTTGGCATGTTTACATTTTATCATCCCCCAAGATTTCTAAGACTCAAACCTAACATTTGACAATTTAAATGATAGTTTAAAATGACAAATAAACAGCGATTAGCCTGGAAACATGGGATTTCTAATGGCAGCAGTGATTCCAAACGGTTGTAGGACAAGAAGCTGTGGCTTTGGTTTTACTCACAGCCTCTAGACGCATGACAACAGATAATTAAGACGTGCTGTCAGAAAGTGGTGCAGAGTGCTTCCGTTATGAAGTCACAATCATTATAATTTATTAACAATTGCAACATCTTCATCCAACAATTTATTTTAAAAAGGCAATGCTATAATGGCAGTAGGACCTAATATCGCCATTTCTTTGCTGCTGGCCTAAAATCAGAGGCAACCTCTTCCAGCAGATTACTGGGTGGAGCTGAGGGTGCTGAATGGGGTGAGCGCGTAGTCTTTCAAGGATTAGGAAATAAGGATCCATAATGGCTGCCAGACAGATATCTGTTAGGTTGGTGGCTTTAATGTTCTCATATAGAGACGACCCGGTCTCCCTATTGTGGGGCTTTGAAACATGAGAGACTGAGAAACTGACTGACTCCATATAGAAGTTCAATGGAATATTTTCTACTTTGAATTTTACTTTCTTGTGTTCCTAATTGGCATAGCCTCAAAAGTACACTAGCCAAAAGTGAAATACGTTGAATATTGGCAGGAGCTGGTCGATAACAGACAGCAAAACTGAGAGCACATACTATACATATACATATATGCACATATTCTGCATGTTCTGTATTTGAGAACAGACCAGTAAAAGGCCTGACCCCCATAACTAAAAACACAACATTTCTTTAACAGGTATTATGGATAGTGAGAATAGACAAACTAATTATTAATCCTGCCAATTACATTTGTATGTTACTGTTAAAATATGGTAAAAAAAACTAACAAAAAACAGTCATTCTCATCTGGATTTTGAACAAGACCAGATTACTTTTCGTAAACGTTTGTAATGATTAACAATAGGCGTACAGGCCCTGGACTGTGACCCAGGACCCAGGAGTGAATGTCAAAGGCGTTATCAGCTTCTCCTGTAGTAAAGGACCAGATTTAGGAGGAGCTTCAAAAGCTGTGTGTAAGTAGGTGTCACTACAGCAGAAATGTTTTCCTGCATCTATAAAACAGGATATGATAAGGAAAAACATTTTCGGTTAAAACTTCTATGCATGTCATTGACTGGTCTGTGAGTCCTGTATCCACTAAATGTACAAATATAAACAGGATACATCTGCACGGCTTATATTAGCCATTGCTATTTTTAGCCAATCAAACATACTGTATATCAGTACGGTATGGACTTACATGTCTAACAGCCAATAGGCTGGAATAAATGGCAGTACAGACAGGTAATTGGTAATGTCCACCCACACTCTCTTCTAATGCCAATTTTCCACTTGTGATACACTACCCCATTTAGTCCTGTGTCATTTTTTACAAAAATATCCATACCAACTGCTGACACTCAACTCTTTTGTCTACTTGTGACATTTAAAAAGGCAGACTGTCACTTTTAAAAAGGAACACATATTCTCCCTCTTTAAAAATATCACACCCTTGTGTAACAAAGTACACGCACAGATGTAGCTGCTACAGCTTTACTTGCTCTGATTGGACCAGTGACTCTTGGTGTCTGATGTGAGCTCATGCTAGCAAACTTCTAGATATTGCTGTGTAACTGAGATTATCAAATCGGTTTGCTTATTTTATGACTGTTCTCTACTTGTGCTATTGCTATTTTCATTTGAACATTTACCATTATCCTGTACTGTTATCGTAAATTGAGGCTGAGGGGGCCAAGGTTCAGCAAAGGTTATTCTCAATTAACCTGTGATGTCTGTTAGTGGCCCTAAAACATAATGGATACAATAGGATAGGAATTCTGGTTCACTTTTGCGCTCTTTAATGTTACCATATTAGCCATCACATGACAATGTCAATATCTCCCTTATAAAAGCATCAGCTGATCATTAATTTCTTAAAGGTCCCCTATTATACTGTTTTTCATCAATATATTAAAGGTCTCAGATATATACAAAACATGTCTCTGAAGTGTTTGGCTCGAAATACCAAACAGATCACCAAATGTAGCATTCCATAATCCCCTCTGCAAAAAGGGGGGGGGGTACCTTGGTTGGTTATTGGCTAATGGTTACACAAGCCAAAAAATCATTATGACATCATAAAGTGGCCAAAATCTGATCAGCTCATTTTCAGAGAGGTTTTTATATAAATGGATCAGGACAAAAAGTGAGCGAATCTTTTTTTCCTGACATTTTCAGAACCTCTTTACACAGAGGGGACACATGTTTATGTACATAAGACAGGAAAAAGTGGATTTTGCATAACAGGTGACCTTTAACATCTTACCTAGCTCAGTGGTGAACTGTTGTCCAGTGGTTTCCATGGCTCCTAGTTCTCTTTCCGCTCTGTCCAAAGGGAGTCTATGTGGCCTTGCTGCAGTCCTGTACATGAGAGGGTCCATGTCTCCATTCTGCAGTCCGTTATGAGGGACCCTCATTGGAGGAACAAAGTGATGCCCTGCCGGTGGAGGAGCCTTGTACGTCATGGCTTTTCTTATCCGATCCCCTAAGGCATGCTTCCCAGGTCCAACAGCCACCTTCTTCTGCTTCTGAGTGGGACCACCTGACCCTGAACTTCCCATCCCCAGAACAGCTCCTACTCTAACTCCAACAGCTTGGCCAAACGTCCTTTTTTTCTTTCGGGCCTCAGACCGAGCTCTGGAGTTTTCTGTAGCAGATGGCTGGCTGGTGATAAGGGGCTCCTGACGGTTTTTTGGAACCTTGGGCCGTTTGTGTGAATGCAGTTTCAGGCTGTTGTACTGGTCAATAAATTCCTCGCAGTGCAGTAGGTGGTGTTCTGGCTCCCATGTGTCCTCCTTACTGCCATAACCTTTCCATCTTATCAGGTATTCCCACTTGCCCTTCTTGTTCCGCCTCTTGTCCACGATGCGCTCCACCTGAAGGCAACATACAAAGAAATTAGGAAAGGTTTTAAAGAATAAAACATGATGTCAACGATGACCAAAGTAATGTGACAATCTTTTTTGCCATAATCAAGTATTGCTGTAATTTTGTACAGTTTGATTTTAAACTGTATTTTGAGCCATTGCTAGGGAGTGTAAAAACGCAAAAAATGATATATTGTGTGACATTGGTCGTGTTCAATATTAGGGCTTATTCTTTGAGATGAGCTACAAGCTGCTATCATCAATAATCCTTAAACATCAGCCTTTGGAGGCCAAACCAAACCCAGAAAAGCCTGTGTAATTTAGAATGTATTAGACCAGCAGAGAGCATAAAACATCAGCAAATGCTTATTTTGACGAAGGTACTCTATTATGTGCATCTACGAAATAAACCCAGTCTAAAAAGGGACACTTTTCAGAAAATACACAAATTCTTATTTGATTAAACTACATGACTACGGTTCTGGTGTCTTTCTTTATCAGCATAGTAAGAGAACAACCTGAATGTAATAAAGGATGGCATATAACACCAACACATATACATTTGAATTAAAAAAGGAAGATGGTGCATAAGGCAATGACATATTCCATCATTTGCTAAAGGACTAACTACTATGATTGTCTACAAACTTGCGACCAATCACTCAAGTAATCAGAGTGTGAATCATTGCTTTGCAATTCAACTTGATTGCATTCAACTTGATTTGCAAGTCAGAAGGTGCTGATAAGACTCTTCTAAGCAGTACCATAGTTTCATATTAGCACATACATCCCTCTTTCACAGACAGGGTTTTGGCAGACTAAACTTGGGGTTTTAATGCCAGTGAAAAGGAGCAGGAAGTAAACTAAAATGTAAATTCTGGTGGTTTTCGAATGACCAAATCTGGATGAAAGGTTTTGATATTATATACTCATTTAATCCAAACATTCACATTTTGGACTACATCACCAAAAAGTATATAACACACAGGAAACAGACAAAATCACACATCAAATCACATAAAAACAGCCTTACCCCACACAAACATAGACTGTCAGCACCACCTATTCTCAAAATATGCAAGTCCAAACCTGCACCATTGATGACACAATACAGGTTTTGGTTGAATATCTATGCCAGTGTTTCCCCGATATACAAATAGCGGCGGCAGCTGTTTTACCTTTTATTTTTTTATTAAAATAATAATAAGTGGCGACCCTTTTTCATTTTTGATTGTTTGTTATGTGGATTTGTAGTATTTGTGTTACTGCAGGTTCAATAAAGGTGTATTTTTGCTAAATCTTGAGACATTGCCACTGTATGTACTAGGCAGGGCCGATTTTTGGCATAGGCGGCAGATCTGGGGGGCGCTGCGCTGGTAGCTCTGGGAGGGGAAAAAACTTTTTTGACCGTTGGCGCTCATCCTAATTTTCGGCCTTGATGTAACAACATTCATAATTAAGTAAATGTAACACCCTTTTCACCCCGGTTACACTTTTCATTTTCCCTGTACAATGGGCGCTGTAAGTGATGAAAGTGGGGGATGTTGGCTTATCAGGCGCCCGCAGCTCACAGCCAAAGTGCGAGCGTGGGAGCGAGAGAGCGAGCAAGGGAGAGAGAGAGAGGGCGCACCGGTACCGGCGCTGTTGTTATTAGAATCTGGTGCTAGCTGCGCTAACGGATATAAGAAGAAGATGTTTCTACAACCAGGGTGGAGGAGAGCTCTCCTGTCAGACTGAGAGGCTCAGTGAGGTAAAGGACTCTCTGAGTGTTTAGATAGTTCATTTTAGTCTAAGTTATCTCAGTGAGTCTCAAACGTTTTGATCACAAATTATGTAAACACATATTTCCAAGGCACTCCTTTATAATTATTAGGATGAATAAAAACAGGTTTGAAATCATTCCAGTGTATACTATAGGACAGTAAACCAAAAATATCTTTTAAAGTTGGAGAGATACAAAAATATGCATAAATAAATAAATGTTAACTAGGTAAAATAAGATATGAATGAACAACAAAAATAAAATAAGTTACATTTATTTGTTATTGGCTATGGTAGGTTATTGGTTATGTTCATATACTTATTTGATTATTAAAATGTAAACCGATCTTTTTCATATGGGTGTTTTAGAGTTGTACCCCCTAGATCAGGTCTCTAGTTGTGTGCTCAAAGTGCACCAGATTGAAGCATTTTACTTTACAATGTTCAAAAAATCTTCCCGGGGGGGCATACCCCCGGACCCCCCTAGAGCAGTGGTTCTCAAACTTTTTTCAATAGTGCACCCCCGTTGAAAAAGAAATTCAGCCAAGTACCCCCTGATCAGCGCAAAAACTATTTGTTAGGGAAAAACTGCCTATATAAAGAGGTACAGTTCAGCCTGAGCCTTGCACCATCAGTGTCTGATTTAATAAAACAACATTGTAACTGACACTTCACTTAAATGCTACATTTCAAATGTTTACAATCCATCACTAAATTCATGGCAAACCAATTTTAACATCATGCAATAATGCTAAGACGACATTAGTTGAATTGAACTGATCTTTTTGATAAGTTGTACTTACAATTTAGTGAGAAACATGGGCTTGTGCTTCACTGAGGATCTTTATCATTCTGACAGGGAGGCCACTGCAGTTATTACACTTCACGTTTTGAAATATGTGTAACTCTGTTAATATAAAACCCACACTGCTCAAACTTCGTAAATGTTCCTAAAATTGGTATATTTATGTATTTATTTATTTTGGGGCGTGGGGAATGAAGAGAAAAAAAAAAAAGAGCATTTTATGAGCATGGGATTTTGACCCCTCATATAAACAAATGCATAATGCTGCACTATACTTTGCAGCCACAAGCCGTTGCCAAGCAACGCTTATTGTTTAGGTCCTTTGACACGCAGGCAGTCATATAATTAACTAGAACTAGCTAGATCTGATTTGGACATAAACGCGAGTGAAGTATAACCGGACGCGAGAGAGAGATCAGAGATCAGATCAGCTGCTGCTGACGGAGAACACGCAGCTCTTCCGGATCACAGCTCCACCCGCTGTGATGGACCGTTGAGCGGAGCAAAATACACTAAGAGTTAGACCTAATACACTTAGCTAGTTTATCTACTCTGGAACTAGCTAAACTAGTTATAAATATGTGTATTCTTTACTGTTGGGTCACTTATTACAGGTTCAGCAAGCTGCACAAGACTGACCGGCTGTCAGGAGACGAGAGAGAGGAAAAGAGAGCACCCCGTTTATTTTTCCCATTTTATTATCCAGAATTACTGTAAACTTTTGAATAAAGTAGTTAATCTACTATTAGTAGTTTGTTTAAATGCATTAATTATGTTGTTTTTTTTCATTAACCCCTAGGGGTCCGCGTACCCCCATTTGAGAACCACTGCCCTAGAGGATGTGACGTCCACCCCCCAATTCAAACATGTTCATACAATACTGAATACATTTGAAGCCATTTTGACGTATATTACCTATGTCAATACATTTCTGTTTTTGTAGTGTATTTGTCTTTTGTAGAGATTTTTCATTTATTCTTTATAAAATCTCGCCTAGGGCAGAAAATTGTCTAGAACCGGCCCTGGTACTAGGCCTCAAGAGCCTTTCTTGTGCTGGCAGACACATAGAAACAAATTTGCGGGGCGCACTACGCACGTGCACACACTAAAAGATTCCACGCGCTCCGCGCTCACATTATGCTGGGCCCACATGCCTTAGCACCACTGCTATGACTCCATCCTAGGGGAAATACTGTATGCGTAATGTTCTTTATCACTGCCTGACATCAGGGTACATTTATGCTGACAAGCACATGACGTGCAATGTACAAATCACAAGCATCCTCAGGCATCTTCTGATTTTAGTGTCTAATAGCCAACAGTTACTCTAAAACAGGGATCACCAACTACATTTGTCCAAGGGCCAAAATTATTCCTAGAGACACTTTCGGGGGTCAGCGATTTTATATATAGCCCTGAATTTTGAAGGGGGGGGGGGTGCTAGTGGAGCACGCTCATGTACTGTCAAGTCACCGGAGCCTCGTAGCGGGGGCTACTGCGGAGCTCATAAAGCAGACTCTTCACGTTAACGAAGGGTCTGCTGCCTCTGTTGGACTCTGTTGGGGGGGGGGGGGGGGGGGTGCTGGTGGAGCACGCTCATGTACTGTCAACTCGCCGGAGCGCATAAAGCAGACTCTTCGCACTAACGAAGGATCACTTCTTCTTCAGGGCAGGGAAGGCTACGCAGTACGCAGGCTACTGTTCCGCAGCTGCTGCCTCTCTGTTGGACTCCGGTACTGCACATTACTCACGAGACGTTGGCGAACGCACTAACCACTCCGCCAGCGCCACAGCGCGTGCCGGTTGAGAATGTCTGGCGTGCCAGATTTGGCCCGCGGGCCGCCAGTTGATGGTGACTGCTCTAAAAGATACATGCTTATTCCAGCATTCTGGTCTTTAAGACTTAGAATACAAGTAAGGAAAATAAAAGTTTGTACTCATAAGACATTTTGTGCTGTGAGACTGATGGAAAATGGTTTCAAGGTTTCTTCAGAGCCTCTAGCACAGTGATGGCATTAACTGCTCATCATGTCCTCAGATGTGCCGTGCGCATTAACAGGAGTAAACAGCCTTTGATCGGTGTGCCGCAGGGGTGTCACAGAAATGAACAGACAATTAGGTTGCTTAAAGTCCCAAACAATGTCACACTTAACAGCATTGCAGAGAGACACGCATGCAGAGAAAAGAAGAGAAGGAAGGAGAAAGCATGGGGTAAACCGGTGTAATCGGAGAGGGTTAGAAACACTTGATGCTCAAGAACGAGCTGGCACAGAGTTAGAAAATGTGGGGCAGTGTTATCCTCCAACACCAAGCATACAGTAGTGTTTTCACCACAATGTTTGTATACATTCTGACTATCAGCAGCATTTTTTACAGGAGGACCAAGCAAAAGGCTCCATTTACATTAAGCCATCTCAGATTGTAAAGACTATTTTGTGTGAAA